AGTTTGATACAGCACTCTTTCGAGATGCTAACAAACTCAGCGATTCTACAATAACTAATTGCAGTGAGTATCAAGCCTTATAAGATCTACTCAATGAAGATGAGGGCACTATGGAGAACAACTGGTAATGGATTAAAGGAGGAATAACATCAATGAGTCATGAAGTACTGGTCTCCGAGAAACACCGGAACACAGAATAGATCTTTGAAGACAGCCTGGATAAAGTTCAAGAAGGGAAGAACAGGACTACAAGCAACATTACCCGAACAGGAGGAGAGAAATCCAGGACACATGCTGAACGCACGGAAGCAAACGATCAAGTGGAGAGGAGTATTGGATTCGGTAATAAGAAATATGTGGAAGAACTAGGAATGACACCTAACCAAGCTGCAAGAGAAGAAAGTAAAAGACAACTACATGAGACTGACAAGAAAATGAAGTGAACTAGGGCGACCAGTCATGAATGAAGTAGGCGAATCAATTACTGATATTTAAGGACAGCGAAACATATGAGTAGAACACGTTGAGATGTTATTGAGCAGATCGACCTCTCTGAACCCACCGGAAGTCAAACCAACACACACAGACCTTCCGCGCCAACAGTCGATGAAGTCACCATGGCTATTAGACCAACCAAGAGTGGTAAGGCAGCAGGACCAGACAGCATTCTAGCTGATGCACTGAATTCAGCGTAGAAATAATCGCGAAGATGCACCACATCCTCTTCAGAAAAATTTGGATAAAATAACAAATACCGACAGTCTATAATGAAGAATACTTGATTAATATACAAACGAAAGGGGAGTTGAGCAAATATGAGAGCTAGGGGCATCACACCATTATCAGTACGAGGCAAAGTCCTCAACGGAGTGTTGTTGAACAGAATGAAGGATCTAGTAGACACTGAACGTCGATACCAATTGGCTAGGTTTCGTAAGGATCAACCATGAACCGATACAGTCGGAACAAAACAAATAGTTATCGAACTGTCAACCGAATGGACTTCGTCGTCACATATCAACTTTTTTCACTAAGAGAAAACCTTTGACAATGTGGATTGGAGAATATTATTGAACCTTCTTCGACAATGCAGTTTAGCTGGGAGGATTTACACTATCATACGGAATTCTTGCAATGAACTACTTTGCGAAGTCGTGGATTGAAACTCACAGATGCATCCCATGTGAATACCGGTGTCAGATAAGGCTGCTTACACTCGTCCTTCCTCTTTCTTCTTGTTGTTAACTGGAATGTGAAGACCTCCACATCTCAGGTGAAGCACGGAATGTAGTAAGCAGCTTGGATGCAGTTAGACAATTTGGATTTCACAGATGACCTGACTCTTTTATTCCATACACAGGAACAAATGTAAGTGAAAGGAACCAGTTTAGCAGCAGTCTGTGTGAGTAGGTCCTAACATCCACAATGGAAGATGCGAGAACCAACTTGATCACACTTGATAGAGAAGCCCTCGAAGTGATAGAATGGTTTTCTTACCTGGGGAGCATCACTGATAAATAAGTGGGACCTTATGGAGATGTGAAGGCACAAATTGACAATACGATGTCGGGATTTGCACAATTGGAGAATATCCGGAACTCAAAACAACTGTCTTATAACACCGACGCCATAATTTTCAATAAAAACTTTAAAACAGTTCTATTGTGCGAAATTAAAAATTGAACATCCACCACCCCCACCATTGCTAAAATCGTTCAGGTATTTAGACAAGATTATCCACATATTTTGATCGGACACTATCAGCATTAATGTACTACGAAACGAAACAGATCAGCTTCCAGATGAAGAGGAAATTAAGAGAAAACATTAGAGGTGGATTGACTACATTACAGAAATTTTCAAAATGCATGAGGAACCAAGCCCTAACTTGGAATCCTCAATGAGAAAGGAAACGTATCAGACCAAATAACATATCGAGCCTGGAATTGTAGGTAGACATCAAAAGAATGAATAGCACTTGTGAACAACTGGGAAGTAAAGAACAGAACAGTGACCTATGCATCCGAATGGTTTTAGTGGCCCTTTATCTGACTCCAACTGGATCGTATGAATGTTATTGAAATACATATGTCGACTATCCTCGTATGTATTAATCGACTTAATGCGCGTTAGTGAATAACATAATTAAATAGGTCAAGTACAGGAATGGATTTTGAATATGTATATTTCATGTACTCATTGATTTGAACAGGCAATCAGGGAGACGAAATAAAGAAGGGAAAGCGAAGCGAAATGGTGCGCAGCGGTGTGTGAGCCAATGTGATTTGGTCAAGCGTTAATCAGTATTTATAGTCACAAGAAATAAGCTACAAATATGTGATTAGTAGGACACGATATACACACACGCTCATATAAAAACAGTCAGGATTGATAAATGAATAATTAACAAGGTCAAAACGTGACTCAAGAAGAATGGATAAATTTGCCTGTTCAGAAGCTAGAATACGTTTTAGTGGGCTTAACATGGTAACCGACACGACATGGTAACGGGTTATGTTAGTAAATAAATAATAATAGACTGTTACAGCTGCCTTTTTACTATCTTATTTCCATTTTACATTTACTAATGCTGATATACTCATTATATGTTTTATTTGTGGTCAGTAGTAGTTTAAATCAAATACAAATTAATAATAATCAGTTCACTACAGAATTCTGGGGTAGATGAAATTATTTAAAGTATTCGGGAAATAGTTTGAGGTTTCTTTCACAAGAATGAATATCCTGGGTTCGATCCCCACATACAGTTTTGTGTATGGGGACGGCTAAGGAGCCCCACTTTGGGGCGAGACAACTGTCCAGTAATTTCAGGTTTTACTGTCCTATAGTTAACTTTATCCAGAAAAAATAACATTTGTTTATTCGGACTTGTTAAATACACGTTCATGTCCTAAAGAAATGATCGGAAACCTATTTTAATAGTGTCTGACTGTAGTTATTTTCGAAGAGGATCAAAATACTTTGTTCATTTTCCGATTAACCCCACTCATTACATTATTTCACTTGAAGCATTACATTTGTTTTTAATCATGTCAGTGCATCGATAGTTTTTGAAGCATTTCTGTCCTTACCAGATTACAACGAACGGATCGAAATATGATCCTGTACTATAGTGATAGAGTATATTCTTTATTAATAGTGATACAAGGTTTGAGTGTTAGAAATTTTAAAAACCATTCGTCAAGTATACTGAGTGTTATGGAGCGATCGAATCAACCACAAATGCTCAGTTATATTCCATATTTTCATCGATTTAGTTAACTTGATGGCATTCTATATTTTTTCTTGTCTTCTAATTTCTTCATTCTTCTTGCTTTACTTTCTTGTATTCGTCATCATAAGTCGATTATACTGATCTTTTGTTTGTGTGACTAGCCATATAGCTCAGGCTATGCACTTTGTACAATTTCGATACGACAATTAGATGAGGTCGATCTATAGAAGTTTATTAAAAGTACTAATTACTCTACGTTTTATACAATGCCTACGTTACAAACTTTGGTCACGACCATATTCAAATTCGCACTTCAGTTTCCATTTAAAATTTATTTACTTTCATTTGTACGTTTATTTTAAACCTCCTATTCCCTACTGTTGTGTTTTCTTAAAAATCAAAAATGAAAGTGAATGACTAAACTATTATATTCGTGTTATAATTTTAGATAGAAGTGAATTTGTTGTGTATTCGCATAGTGAAGCTTTATTTAGAATAGATGATATTCAGTATCAAAAAGAACAAATTTCAAGTAAACAGTAACATTTACGTTTTTTAAACAAGTTTTCTAATTATATACTGTGGTTCTGGTTAAACTGAGAAAGGTAGGAAGAAGAGCCTAGACGAAAAGTACATTAAGCTTGGAATGAAAAAGATAGAATATAGAACAATATCGCGTTCACAATTAGAACATGAAATTTCTTAAAACGTTTTGGCAGATTTTAGTGAATGGTCTGCGGTTCGAAATCCAGATAAAGTCAGTTTGTAGTATTAGTCCCTTTTTCTAATGAAATCCTGTGAAACAACTTCAGTAACTTTCTTCCTTGTTGCGACTCAAAAGCATAAACAGTTCATCTTAAAACAGGATTCAGTAATCTTAGTTTAAATGTCTAATGAATTGTTGTTGAATCATTGTATAAGTTAACTTTTTCTAGTTTCTATCATTCGAATCGTTTTTTCTGATGTCTTATATTCACAGAGTTGACTTAAAAGCCCACAGCATTACAAGGTATCTTCGAGATATGTATAATCATTAATTCCGATTTTTTGCCACATAAGGTAATCAGTTATCTACTGACCTAATTGAAACTAGCTATACAAATGTTCAACTTTAATTCCATACTTCACTCTCATTCGTGTAGTTTACTTTGGACATCCGGTACGCAACAATACGATTACGTTTTCATTCATACGTGTCCAAACCAAGTCCAGATTTTTTTGTAAAAATGTTTGGTATTAGGTAGATAATTTTCACCATGGTTAGGAATCTGTATTTTCCAATTAGTGAAAAAACTAATTTATTTTTAATGATATTTCGTTATTTAGTGTTAAAAGTTTTATCAAACAAATAAATCTGAATTTACAAAAATCTAAGTTTATCTATGGTAAATTAGTCAAACTTCTGAATAAATAATCTTGTGATGTCAAGTGAATGGACTGGTCAAGACAAAAGGGGGTGTAAATTGTTTGGTTTGATATGTGAATAAATTCTAAAAATGTGATTACAATTTTTCCCTTTTCCACATTTATATCGACAATGTTAGTTAGTCTAGATAATTCTATCCAATGTGAAGTGTTTCTGCTATAAGCTATTCTTTGTGACTTTTCTGAAAGAGTTCAATATTGTCACCGTCAATTGTTTGGTCTGATATTATAGCATGTAGGCCAATGGACAAAGAGTTTTCAATCTATGATATTTGGAAAAAGCGTTGTATCGCGGGACGACTGATGTAAACACGATTGTTTTTACTTTCATTACTTTCAGGGCAGTAGGGATGGAAACTATAGCATGCTCTGCTGATCTCAGTTGGCCTACTAGTCAGCTCGGTAATCTGGTCCCATTCGGAGCTAATGATACCACTGGTAAAAATGTCACATCAACAAGTAGTATAGAGCATCCAGGACGTTCTGGTGGTCCTGGTGTAGTGCCGTTAAGATTAACACATTTAGTAAGAGATTTAACATTACCAGATGTGACTGGTTGTTGTTTTGAGTTACACAGTTCAGATGGTCGACGTTCATGTCTACTCCGTGCACCAGATGCTCAAGAAGCTCGAATGTGGTTTGATGCAATACACAGTAAAATGAAAATTATAAATAAATCTTATTTGGCTGAACTAAATCGTCTACTTCCCCCAACCCAAGTAAGCCAATAATAGTTATTTTATCAAAATTGTTATTTATTTCACAAAATAATTGTAGATAATTGTATCTTATTTCTTGCTAAAACAACTCTATTTTTATCCGTTTTACTACGGGTAGAACTCATTGAATCAGAAATAAAAAGGTTAGCTTTAATGAATACAAAATACCTGCTATAAATAAATTAAATGACTGCTTTTTTATTTCTCCAAATCGAAATTAATATAAGCTAGCTTTCAGATGATACACGGTTCAAACAACAATATAAATCTATTTGTATGTGTCATTTTTTATAAATGTTAGATATTGGTTATTCCTTGATATATAATGTAAACGAAAATATTTTGCATAGTTAAGGTCTGTAAACTGATTCAGAAACATAATCCAGTTTTAAGAGCTATTAGTGATTGGAGTAATAAGTTAGACATTAGTGTATCAAACGTCCTGATTGTGAAATAAAAGTTTGAATACTTAACAGATAATGGATTTCCCTAATATTATATCAACGATGTACTAATGAGTAACAGTGAATGTTAAACACAGGTGTTGGGCTTTCAGTACTAAACAGTGCCACTTGATGTACAATTTAACTTAGTATTTAAGTAATCTGCTGAATTAGATAAACTCATATTAGTACATATGATTTTTGCATAATATTATCTTCCATTTGATAATGAATTTATATGAGCATAAATAAGCTTCACCTAATTGAAGAAACAGATTATTACAATTCTAACTAATTTATTAATTTTTCCACAGCTATAACTCACCGCTAACAATCCATAGAACTAATCAAAATTTGGTATTATTGAACAACTGATTAAATATCAAATCAGTTACTCATTGTGACGGTCCTTAGTTCGGTCTCTAATTGCATTATGGGAGCCAATTGTAAAATAGTCCTAAGTTTCCAATGATCATCTAGTTAAGATCAATCGATTATGTGAACATTTTTCTTGTTATGCCATCTCCACAATCTTCCAAGCTAACTGATAATATACCACAGAAAATCTTAGAACATTTCGTTTACTTTCGTAGAATCAGAAGCTTAACAAATCATATACTGAATATTAGGATTTCATGACATTATCTTTCCGACAAAAATGTGCAATTTTATGTCGTATTTCAGTCTAAATCCTTTATTTCACGCACTTATTTATACACGTCAAAGGCAAGCGTAGACATCAGCCTTCTTTTAATCGGTATCTCTGGAGCAATGCTCATATATGTTTGAACTATCAAGTGAATAATATTGAGGTCAGCCACACGGTATTAGGAAAGATTGGTAAGTCGGTTGACGGGGATTGTAATAATAATAATGATAATAGTTGTTGTGTCTTTAAGCCACTTAGCTTAAAGTACAGAGGTGGTATCAAGATATTTAGCATGTGTGTTCCAATCAAACAATTATAACTCATAAAATAAAAACAATACATCAAACATGAAATGACCATCTACTTAGTGTGAAATCTTAGTGTTTCATGTAAAGAGAACAATGAAGCATTTGACAAACATCGAGGATGTTCCTCTATTGACAATTATTAAATAATAACTAGATTATCAATTCATAATCCATTGAAGCGAATGATAACTTATCTAGTCTAAGCAATGGATTAGCAGAACGTTCAAATTACGATTCAAATCAGATAATGGCTAATAGTAGAATCCACTTAGCCACTAACCAAGTAGATGTGCCTGCAACCCCTAAAACTTATCGGAGTATTCCACTCCGGATGCACACGTATCAGTGAGGACCAACCAATCATAAATGTAAACAACGATGAGAGAATACAAACCCTTACTGTGTCGTCATTGGAATAGTAGCATCACTCCCGACACAGTGAAATTTAAAGGTTTTAAGCTTCTCAAAAGAATTTACGAAGTACACTTCAAAACTGATTATTTGTGAAGATGAAGATCGTGTCATACCGCATATCGGATGGAATTTATCCATTGACTTGGAAGTATCAGACTTATCATAAAACATTAAGGTCGTAGATTTAAATATTTGTGTGAGTTGTTGATGGGTAGTACAGTCGAAGAGCCTCTAGCTAGAATCGAACTAATGTCCCATAGTTGCCATTTCTCAATAGTTATCTAACAAATCTCTGCTCCCCACGATATACATGTTCAAAGTAGTGTAAAACGTCGTCACAATATCGCTCGAATGAATGAATAAATGAACATTGATGGTCCCATCCTCATTACTAACAAGAATTAAAAGTAATTGCGGATTCTCAATTTCATTTGCCAATAAATGACAAACGCATCACAGCTCACTGTTGACTATATTGTCTTGATAACACTGAAACAGGTCCAGTTTCCTTCCCAGCATTTTGCTTAAAAGTATTTTATAATAAGAAAACCTGAACATTGTCTAGTGTTGTGTTCTGTCTTCTATTATCTGTTCATTTGTCAGGCTTTGATTCAACTAATTCCATCTCCGAAAGTGGTCATGACTGAGTCGTTATATCAACTGGAATAAGTAGTTATATGATTAACTATATATTTCCTACAAACTATTGCGAAGTGAAATGGACGCTTCTCATCAAAATACTGTTACGAAATCAACGATCGAATCAAACCGTTCATATCTGCTTCGTATCTGCAGATATTTAAATTACCGTTCGAATACACCTGTCTTATGATTTTCTGTGAGTTTTCCAAACACAGTTGCAGTACATATGTAGCAAGGCGTTTGTGAAGATGGAAATCCTCCCATACTATTAATCACCGCTTTTGTAAACAGGATAGAATTGTGAATTATCTCAGCCTAGAACAAAACGTTATAAGCTTAAAGTACAAACTAGAAATCGTTCACCATGTTTTCACAGTACATGTCCTTATAAGATCGGTATTAGACCTAAGACTTTCTTCTAGTTATTTTACACGTTTTGGACCAGTTTAGAAAAACATCGAAACATCTTTAATGCTTATCAATTTACGATTATCCATGGGACTTTCTTCCATTATTTAATCGCTGAATGTCACTCACAAACATCATAGCTCAGTGTGCGTGTCGTTTGCTCTAGCTCCGCATACTGGTAATATCATTGTTGAGTAAATATCAACGAGAAAATTGTGGAAGATTGAAAGGCCGACCAATTCTGTCAGGATGAAATTTCGTTTTTGATGTCTAAACCAAATAAGTACTTTTTCATGTTGTTGAGTGTTGTGTCAAAGAACTGTAAAGTTAGGTAGATCATGACACTGTTGTGTAATAACGAAAATACTTCATGAGCTTGTCTATTTGAGTTTTCCAAACCATCATAAAGCTCTTACTTGTGGGAAAGAATAGATTCAAAAAGATGCATGGAATATTCTTTACACACATCTTTCAAAGAAATAACAGTAATGAATTTGTATTGAATTAACGGAGTGAAGCCTATGAGGCCTTAATCAATGTCAATCCGTGACACTAATAACCACAACACTGATTTGACACTGGAAAGTGACCAGCTATTCTTCGAAATAATTACCGAGGTATCAGAAACATCTAGATGATTTATTGGCTGTCTATCGGATGAGTAGATGAAACAATGGAGTTATTTAACATGTCACTATATAAAGTGACTGTGTCATGACGGGATCTATTTTCATCTTCAGTTGCTTTAGTAACTATGATATAACAGGGTGAAATTTATAATGATATTTTACTTCCAGGCTTTATTGTTCCTAAAATATCGTAAGAAAATCTTTAGACCAACAGAAAAGATAACAGGACACAGTGGGAATAACCAACCAACTGCCACCAATCTAAACTCTCATTGCGCCCTATCGTGTTTAGTAAACTCTCGAAACAACTTTCCGAATATCTTTACTCTAGTTAAGCAAGCAATACAAACATGTTTATAAACACTGTTTTGAAATCGTAATTAGTTGAGGATAAAACTACCGAACAATAATAGTGCCATTAATGAATGACTAATTTATTCCGTTACTGAGTCAAGAAAATACAACAACAACAGAGAGAGAGAGAGATATTACTGCAATTAAATGGGAATTCATGAATGAACTGAATAATTACAGAGAAAATGATTAGGAAAACATACCTTAATAACCTATTAAATATGTATATGCATACAGTTATCTTGGTCAATTTTTACTCGTAAATAATTACTTGTTCGCTCTAATTGTTGAATATTCAATGCTGATTGTGATAATAATTGGCTTATATTATTATTATCTACGAAAATTCAAAATAAAGTCACAATTGCATATAATACGATTAATATTAATAATGTCAATAATTATAGCAAATAACTGTAAATTGTATTTTTGGGTGAAAAGTGTATGATTATTCAAGTTGGAATAAGCAAGTGATAGAAGTCGTTAAATGCTTGAATCATTCTGATCTTGTCACCGCCCAACTTCAGTCTGAATTTCTATAATGAACATTAAGTCTTTCAATTAGGAAGAAGGTCAGATGGTGTGAACATGTAATATTCTAAGGAAAAACTAACATCCTATAGTGTTTTATAAAACATGTGAGTGACTTTGATGATAAGGTATTTAGAGAGTGATGAGTATACTTGAAAACTAGTCTCAAATTCTATGTAACACCAACTAATGAATGAATCATATTATTGAACCCTTGTTATCAATGTTCACATCCTACACTATTCAGAACACGGATTCTACGAGTTCGGAAGATTGTAACGCGTAACCTATCATAAAATTACTGATAATAAATCATTTTTGATGTAAATTCATCTTTGATCGATTCATATTCAATAACCAAGTGATAGTGATTTCAAATATGAGAGGTACACTATTGTTATTACTGTTATTATTATCAAACTATCACGAGTTTATTATATTGAATCACCTTATTAAGTCGTGCTAACGTCAAGAAAACTAACCAGTATCAAGTTGAACTAACTTCTATCAAGCTGTCGAACGAGAAAAGCAATACAGTGTGGACTAACCTAATGTTTAGAAGAGGTGGAATAGAGATTGAAGTAGTCAAGTTTCAAGCACTATGTTACACGTCTACCAACTTTGGTTTGTGAAGTCGGCCGGTACCACTTCCCATTCATACAACGTACCTCAAAGAACTATTTATATGGTCGTATTACAAGTGATACGGGACAAACTGTGATCAGTGTAGTTGCTAAACCAGTTTGAGATATGTTTTACTTTCACATAACCTCTGTAATTACCACTGATTACCGAGAAAAGAGGGTTTCCCAAACAGATAAACTGTTATATCGTACAAGCAAAATGGAGTAGAACCGCTACAATTAGGATTCTATGCATAAACTGACAACACCTTAACAATGTGTGTCATCCTCCGTTTTAAGCCTGAATTAGGTAAACTTTTAACGGTGTACAAATAAATTTGTTTAATCAGTTTATTGAAGTTTTCATATTTCCCTGGTTTCTGAGAATAGGGTTATGAGGAAGAGGATTTGAAATATACTTGTCATACAGGTAAAGATTACCTTAACTAAAATGTGACCAAACGGATGCTATCTGTGATGTATACTATCTGCTTCTCATTTCAAACGTTGATATATTTTGCTAGGAAGATTTCCTTAAACTTAGTTCATGAGTAAACATCTGGGAAGCAGATCGGTGACCTAAAAGTGTAACAGACCTTATTTCTGTGATGCCTTTGCCAATCGCGTAATCAATAACCGGGCTGTACTGATTATTAGTTTGTGATTGTTATCAACTTTGTACTTAATTTTCCCACAATTATCAAGAAATCTATATGCGGAAATTATTTACTTGTATAATTGTTTATTCAAAGAGTATTTGAACTTGGTAGCGAAAATTTCTACTTTTAAACAGCTAACAATTCCAAAATTTTTAGAAATTTAAGGTAAACTGATTTTTATCAAAAGTTTGTGGTACTCATAAAGGAAAACATCTGAAGCTTATGTGCATGTTGGCTTGTCAGAACAACAATAACATAAAATACAGACACAGTTAACAAAATTAATGACAACTATGATGTTCATTCCTGTTATTTTCTCATGAAGAGTTTCATATCATTGTTATGTAAATTTCATTCTCTAGAGTTATTCAAACTTATTTTTTCCTTTAATTGGTCTTTTAATCAACTGACTGAGTTATATTATCTTACATTGACGACTTCAATAAATTAATATACCATCACAAATTTTTAAAGGACTATTCAAAAATAATTATACCTCGTACAATATGTCAAATATTAAACTGCACAAAATGTGGCACTGAGTTTCAGGAATTTAAAACAACTCTGTTTTGAATATGAACATATAATACTTATCTTAGTTACTTAAATCAATATAAAGTAATGCTTTTCGTAGGTTTATATCACGGGATGATTTTAACTAGACAACCATTAAAATTTAAGTATCAAACTGTTATTTCGCCTTGTTATGGGACTCCTTCAGAGTGCCCGTCCACGACTGAACCTGTGATCAACACAGAACCTTCAGGGATTGGGTAGAATCGTTAGCGTTTAGGCTACTGAGGTGTTATCAGGTGGTTTATATTTTGAACTATCAATCCATAATAATTTATAAGAATACGAAATCGATCACAAAAGTCGTGGCTAAGCTTCAAAACTAGTTATCTTAAGTCTCAGATAATGAATGTATATTCGGAATTTCGAATCCCTGAACTAGACTAGTTTCCATTTCAGTATCTTTAAATGCTTATAATAAAAAAGGTGGATTTGTAAGCCATATCGTTTTTGAATTATGAACTTTTTTGTCTTAGAAGTGTTTACGGAAATCAGCCAGATTTTTTCACGAAATAACAGTTCTGAATACTACGTAAAATAAAGGACAAATGTGTTATCTTATTTCAAAACTTCTCACCAATGTACAACTATGAACCCACATGGGATTGAATACATAGTCTACTGGTTTCATTTAAATCAGGACATATTTAAACCTTGACTTTGTTCAAGCAGTGAACAAATCTATAAACAAAACGGAAATTTTCACGTATTTTACTTATGAATTAAAAGTCATAAAACAACCATTCAATATTAAAATCAATTTGAACTTTCATTTATTATTGCTACGATTTTTTTTCTTTCCTAAAAAAGGAACTTAAACAACTGGACTGGTTAGTGGAATTACGGTGTACTGGTTCTGATTTACCAAATAGAGGAGGTGATCATATGGATGATATAAATGGTAATATTGTAAGCGATATTCTATCAGCTGGAGATCACACGACAGCAACAGCACATTCCCAACTTGTTCATACAACATGGAAACCAGTATTCGCAGCTTTATCTGATAGAGATTTACTATTGTATGACACTGCTCCTACATCTAAAGAAGAATGGGCTAATCCTGTACAAGCACATCCATTAATTGCTACACGTGTTGTTCATGTAGATTTAAGAAAATCAATTCTGAATGATTCTCATGCACAAAATGAAATTGGTCGAAGATATCCACCTGGAGACATGGTCACATTTGTAACTAGAACAGGTGAGTATATTACAGACGATCGTTTCGTTACTTGATGTCAAATATATGAATTTATTAACTCCAAGAACTGCAATAACTTTTGAGGAATTTATGGAAACCTTACATTTATTCAATTTAGTTTAGTTTGTCCATGTTCTTCTGTTGAATATTTAGGTAGCAAACACGGTGTTGAATCTCATACATTTGCCGTATCTACTCAAGAGGATTTAATGACATGGTCTAATGCAATTATTGAAGGCGCACATATGGCTGTAGCCGGGGCTCAAGAAGTAGTTATCACTTGCAGATGGCAAAATTATGATTGTCGTTTAACATTACACTATGATACTGGATTAAAATTAATCTCTTGTCAATTTCCTATAGAATCACATTCAATAGCACAATCTTATCCACATGGGAATATGACTAGTGGACATGTGATATGGGAGTATCCATATGAAAGGTTGAGGTCAACTGCAGATGATGGAAAGACAATTCTGTGGATCGATTTTGGACCAGATGGAGAATATGTAAGCAAATGGCTAAAGTCGGTTGATGAATAAGATAATACTTATTCAGTGTTTGTTTAATTTCAGCTATTTGTTGATTCGTGGGTTATAATTAGATGATATTAATAACAAACACTTTTTTCAGTGTGTCTATTTATTTTATCAATCCCATACAAGTATGTTCATCTTGAATAGCATTAATGGTACCATGTTTAAAACAGCTAGTCACTTTGATAAACTTTATTAGTGCAGTGTGAAGACGAGATTTATCAGAACTATGTGATACATATTAGCATAATACATTTCAAAAAGTGTGATCACACATTAACTTGTTTATTTATATAGGTTATAAAAGATGAATTTAGACAAATGATCAAGGTCATCACTGATGTGATAAAAGATTCTGTTATTCACCAAAATCTTAAACAACTTGTTAGCGTATAACTCATATCCTATTTGATTTTCCAGTTTACATGCATATATGGATAAACTTATACAAAAAGAGTAATCGTGAATTACAAGCAAAGGTAGTTCTGCATCTGCCTAAATAACTGAAAAAAGATTAAATTGCATTGACCTAGGCGGTAAGTACCCATTCTGTCATATTTTTAGTCGTATAATTGGAATTTCGGTGAGACAACGGACTGATCGAGGTTAGACAATGATCTAAAAGCTGGTTGGTTCGTGATTTTAATGAAATCCAACAACCTTCACAACTCTAACACTGACAATATGGTCGAAATCTCCATAGAATCCACCTCAACTCAGCATTTATAGTGCTTACGCAAAATGATCTAGGGTCCATACTTAGGTTTATTCAAGCCTTAGTTAAACGAAAAGTCGATTCCTCCATATACACTCAAAAGAGGTTTGTGCTTGCCTTAAATTTACTTTGTTATCGTGTATTTTTGCTTAATATTGAAAGCGGTGAGTTTTTATGTTCCCATTTCATCTTGTCTGGCTTATTTATGAAAAATCAAAATATCACATAGTCTTGGTAAATCTCGTTTTGTCACTACACTATCAACAAATCATGTTACCTATATTACAAAATTGATTGTAGGGGTATTTAAATAAACAGAAGCATAATATCATAACTAATATCAATGACTTTCACACTGTTTTCACTAAAATTGTATGAAACACCAGGATTAACAACTAAGAAATATGGCAAAGAGCTTTGTACTTTTAATTATCTGCAATCAAAAAAGTTTAACTAGAGGTATATTCTGCTCTGATCATTACATAGCACAACATTCAAATCGTTATAAGTTGTATATATTTTAGTAAGGATATTGAAATGTATGTAATTCATGTCGATAGAAAGTGAAACCGTCATTTCTGGAAACAATGGGTGATAGTCATACAATATTTTAAATTAACTGAGTTTGGAAATGTAGATTATTAGATTCCAACTCACTGGTTTTATGGTTACTAAATAGTTTAAAAGCATACCTACATCCTGAATAAGACCACTGCCAAGGTCATCAGTGCACAGAACCGAAGAACAGCTTCCAAGTATTTATCACTGTGTCTCAAGGATTCCATAGTTGGTGTTAATCCATGATGAAAATCATCTTTAACATAAGTGAAATTTAACAAAAATGCAAATTTATTCATGCTTTAGGTTGGAGTTACTACAGAATATTTAGTTTATTAGAAGAGAACACTTGTATAAATCAATGTTACTCATAATCTTATCTTTTTTAAATGCCGTATAGTTTATACGTGATGATATAATTTCAAACAAAATATTACTTTAAACAAGACTTATTCATTAATATTAAAATAAGACCAGGACTAAATGATTCAAATCTATTCAAGTTTATTTGCTACATTTAGGACTCACTCAAAACAAAGTATATAACTCATAATTCCTATTAAAATTCCTCTGTTTAGTTGTAAGTTCCTTTTTTTCAATGTTTACAATAAACAGATGGGATGAAGACACTACATAAGGAAAAAAAAACGTTTTTTTAAAAAAACAATATGCTTTAATTCAGTGTCTATTCTCTAGAGCATAAATAAACTGATTACAATATAATAAATAACAAAAAAGAAATGACTAAAAACAGAACTGTAGTAGTAAACAAGTCAAGTTTTTATCCAAAAATTAAGAAATTAACTTCATGGACATTTATTTGTCCACGAACTAGCTAACCGATACTTCTAATTATTGGATGATATTTGTATAGGAATAGTTAATCTTTTAAATAATGACACTCAGTAAATTTGTTTTTGTTTTACAGTGAGTATACAATCTCATATTTATTATTACAATGGATAACTTCAATCCTATTCAATATTCTATTTTACTATTAGAGTTATGAGGACTAGATAAAGCCCCCATTTATCTAGGATAAAAGTGGAAAGAACTAACGGTATAATCAGATGGATAGTTTTACATTTAGAAAGAAATCAGTTATGGAATTTTTTAAAATTGTTTTAAGTCTTCATGTAAATGAGAGTAAGCAGGCTAGCTATTATATACTTTGAAAGCAAACAATTGTTAGTGAACAACCATAATTTCTAATACCAAAAGTTTGGAAGTAACAAAATTATTTTAATTTAGCATTCAACATGAAGTTTTAGGAAATTGTTTAAGCTGCTGGGCATTCAGTTATAACTCACTGAACAAGTGATAAAACGAGACAATTATTTCAACTTATTTCAAAAATAATTTCTTTTGGAAGATTATTGTACGACATCTGATCATTCAAAAAGCGGATTGTTGATTAAAATGTAAATTACTATTGATTGGAAGTTCAAACTAAATTTGGTGAGCATAGGTGTACATCAACATCAACAGTATTCCTTGAGAAATTACATCTATGTTGCATTATTTCGAATTGTTTTGTAACTTAATATGAGGTCTATTGCTAGTTTCGTGTTCCTTTTTATCTTTGGAAATAGAATCTTATAAAAATATTTCCAGAAGAGCGAAACCGAGTATTAACTTGTAATCCACTGAACGATATTGCTTTCCATTACATATACTTCTTAACCAGTGCCTTATGAAGCATACCTAATATCCAGTTTTCAATAAGTTGTTTATACATATTAACAAAAGTTATAATTTGTTAATTGACAGGAATTAGATTTACTTGGATGTCCAAAGCCTGTAGTATTCATTCTACACAATATATTATCTGCCAAAGTAACGAGACGTGGATTATTTGGATAACATTTCGGGAAACATTTTATTTATTTGTCAATATAAAGACATGCGCACACACTCCCACCTAGTTCTTAACAGCAATACAACGAATGGTAGTACAAGTAAAAGGACGGAAGCATATGTATATTGTATAATAAAATTCTATGTATGAATACATTGGTAAATTAATATTACTAACTTCGAATAATATTTAATCTTTATTCATTTTTCAATTAAGCAATAAAAAAGTTATTATAGTCATTATCATTGTGTACGATACATTCCAAATTTAAAAACATTTACTACTGACAAATCATTATTGTTCAAATTTGCGTCGAACAATCACTATATGGATATCTGTATAGAGAAGACGAAGTTCACTCTCCAATAAATACTTTACAAACTCTGAACCATGTGAATATCTTCTTGTTGTCTGATATTCTTTATTGCTACTTAATCCCATTATCCCATCCCTTGTTTTCTCCTAACATTGTGTTGTTTATTTGGTTTTATTCCAATGTGTAGTAAGTGTTTCATTTTCACTAGATGACTAGTAGATTCAAACAAAAAGGTTGTAATGACAAACGTAAAGGGAGCTGAAATGAAAGGAAAATATTTAGTTTACATTGGACCAGTTATTTTTATCATCGTAGTTGTTGCCGTCTTATGATTTTATTCTTCTTCTGTGATACACTACCACTCGTTTTCCTTTCCCTCAATGAAGATGTATTTCTTTGACTCATCGAATCTACAGTAAACTAAAATGTGACTGTTAACAATTATGCTGTTTTACTATTATTATTGTTAATGATTACCTACTTACTTGCTTTTTATTAGTAATTTATTCTCACTGTCCTTCTGTTTGTTTAATAACTAATCCAGTTATTGATTGAGTTTTGAAATGAAACTAAGAATGAATTGGTTTATCTTTTTTGTTTTTTGAATGTTCGTGGTTTCTGTGATCATTTTGAAAATAATGATCGTAGTGGGAGACATTCATCTGATAGTCGTATGTAGAAAATGTATTCTTTGCTGAAATCCTAAACATAATTATATCTTACAAAGTAAAAATTTACTGATATTTCAACAAGATTTTATTATGTTTCTCATTTCGATTGAATAACAAAGATTAAGTTTTTAGTGTTTGCACTAAGTTTAGCATATATAAGCAACAGAAATAAGTCTTTTTTCACACATGTTTTTAGTCATGAACAGAATATGACTTTAATCTCTAGAAAAGCCCCTTCCTTACTTTTGATCACTTAACTCTTCAGTGGACAAATTGAGTAACTATTTGCCATTCACAATGTGTCTACATGTTAGTGTTGTAACATGTTTAAATTTGGTAAAAAATAACTTGGCTACAAATTTTAAATGTTTATTTAAGTAACACCCAACTCAATATTTTTGAAAAGTGGGAGATTCTTTCATACTATTCTTACTGAATTAAATGACATTGATCCACAATGAAATTCTTATACGTGTAAAGTAGTTGGTGAGATATCATCAATTAAAAATAAAAATAGTGACCTAAAAGATGATAGGTAAGGTTTTATGTATGAGAAGACAGTGTTTTCTCCGAATATCTTACTTAGTGTAATCCATTTCTATCGACTATCTCTCCATACTATCTATTGAAAGGGTGGCTCATATGCACTTTGTCTTGTAAAAGGCTTTTTGGAGATCGATTTTATGACCTAATGATTTACTAGGATTTCTATAGATTTCAGCAATAATCAAGCTGATCCATCACAGCATACAGCTCTTGTTATTCTTTGTCCGACTTTGAAGAAGTTGATAGGCTGTCTTCATTCTTTCAAAAAAATAGTGAGCGTTTACTGGGTGTCAAAACAGATTACAGGCTAGCTTATAAAGGGTATCAGTGCACTGCATAAGGGTAGGTGGGGTCAACCTGTCATACTCTGGTGATTTGTTAGGCTATAATATAGTCATCACCAGTGAGGATGATACAGGTATTCAGTGTTTGACAACGCTTCTACCAGTAACACCTAATATAATTTGTTCCCACCGAGAGAAATCAAAAGACAGAGTCGAGGAGATCGGAAGAGTGTATTTGGCGATTACCAATATATCGGAATTCTCTGATCTAATCTGGCTTGCGATTGCGATAGGTGTTGAGCACAGCTTTACCACACGTGATCTGGTGCGGATGCATGACCGAGCGCCTTCAGCTAGATGAGTCCACTAAAACATGTGGTCAGCATCCAATGTCGAAAACTTACAGAGCTATTTATTTTGGGGATTTATTTACCGCTACACCAGCATAAGTCGAGTGGCTTCCAGAACCTGTAGACTTAGGGTCTAGTTCGTTATAAGTACTGCTATAATAATAAACCTAACCCTAAGGTTGTAGATTTGTCGTGAAAGAACGGCCTGATCTATGAGACCTTACATGGAAGTCATGTCATTGTCTACACTGACTCGCCGTGACATGACAATCAGCAATATGGTGTTTAGCGCTTAGGAAGGACACATTTTGGCTAAGGATAGAACAATATTTTTGTTATGGAAAGATATGGGTTACACAAGAATGACCACGCCATGCTGATTGGTTCAATGAATGTTCTCGCGTTCGCCATTGCTGAACTTTCCTAAGTAAATATAAATCTGTTCGGTAATCATATGCTCGGCTTCAAAGAGCGTATGATTAGGAACCAACGTCACTGCAAACGTTTCAAAGACAAGCCTGTTTTGTAGGTTTCCCATGAGCCACATTCAAGTACATTTTAAATCAACCTGAATTTTAGGAGCTAAATGCATCTGGTATAACATTTCACGTTTTACATATTTTAGTAACGCCAGCCCCCAAAGATGATTTCTCTGACCCAATGTTTTGAATATACCTCACCGTCCAACCCGTCCCGGCCTTGAACAAAAAGTTTACTTCGTCATGCTTTTTGAAATCTGAGGAAGATCTGCCAAGTTGCCTTCAATAATAAACCTCTTAGATAGTAGAAAACGCACTCCAATGTTTCCGCTAGTTAGGACCGGTGATAATTTTTCGTGGTAATAAGTTTCCCCGTAACATAGGCAGAAATAGTTCTCAACACATTATGGTACCACGTTAATGCTTGCGCAAAACGTGACTGTAACATATTTTTCCCGTTTAAGAAGCTTGAATTCAAAACATTTTGATATACAGTATTCCGTCCATAAGAATGTAGTTCCATTTAACGTTTTTATTTATTCGTGTTCTTAGACTGCCCATTTTGTTTGATACCAACTAGGTACCGTTTATCAGGACATCATTGTGGTAAACCCATATTTATTAAGAGGTTTAGAGGTGGGAGACCATAATTTTTTATTGTAATACATGATAGAATTTGAAGCATTTTATCCCAGAAAAGGCATTCAGAAATTTTTTTGTTTACATCGACTTTTGCCTGAAAAAGTGTTACATCATTCCCTGGTGTTAATAGGTACACCCTGAACTAGTTCCATCAAAGCACATTGGGTGATTATATTTACGTAGCTACATAGACTTTCGGGCTTCTATTGATATAAATAATCACCCTTCATCTTCCTCAGTATTTGTCACCTTGTTTGAACTGTACTGTACTTTGTTTACAGATTTCATTATCACAGTTGTTTGAAGAAAGTTGAATTTTACTTTCTAGTTAAACTGACGAACATTAAGGACACTATGTTGTTTCTAAGTATGCTTATTGTCTCAGGTGAACATTGTGAGTCTTCTCAAAGTATAAGATGCCTGTGTGATAATTTTACAGTTTTTTACATAATTAGGGTGGATTTATCCAACGTACTAATCTATATCGCGTAATGACGGTGGGATACATGCCGTTTTTGTGTTTTCTGTGAATCATGACTGGTACTTGAAACTTAATGGGAAGGTACACATTCCGCACAAAATGAACATATACCAAAAAAATCATCAATTTCAGTTCTGAATATAAATCAGGAAACTCAAACAACCAGTAGAAATGAAACAAAATCAATGCTGTTCTCCTCAGTATCCGACATTTTCATTCACGGCTTTTAAACACGTTTCTCAACTTTCTGAGATATGGCTATCTAGGAATTCATAGGACACCGTAACTATCGCATTTTAAAGGATAGTCTACAGTTTTTTAAGAAATATATCTGAGTAAAACGTGGGAACTAGTCAAAAATATTAAAGATTTTTTCAGCCTGAAACTACTCCAGTCTTGGCAGTATCTTTCACAATCTACCATAGGCGAAGCAGTATTTGTGAATACTCTGTAGGTACCATTAGTGTGTTTTACTGTTTCGAAATTTTGTGGTGAGAGAGATGCTTGATGGAGTAATACTATTTCTCCGATATAGCCAAAGAGTAAAACGTGGCTATATTTTCAAACTGTTTGGGATTTTGTGGTTTGGTTCACAGTTTTCTTTGAATCACAGAAAGGCATCCAAAGATTTTATACATCGAGTGACTATAAACTGGTCGATTTCAGGCTTAAGCTGTAAACAAATTATAAATCAGGTTTAACCATTCCAGCCAATCGTCTAAAGATATGCTTCTCAGGGTAATCAACAGATTCCGATTATAGTCAAAAAATGCTCAATTTGCGGCATTCACATTCACGTGCAGCTCATGAACTTTAGATCATGTGGTTAGGTTGCATGGACAGGTTTGAGTATATTCGTTCAAAAGTTATGACCACTGATCCCTCTTCCGTTGGACGTGAAGTGAATATGTGTGTGGACAAAAACCGTTTACCGTACGACCATCTCAAGAAAATGCTAGAATATTTGCATAGCTTGGAACTATGCTTACATGGATTATTGTTAGCTAATGAAAAACACATCAATCTTGTCATGACATAAATATTTTATTAGCATGCAAAAAAAACTAATAAACATTTCATCATTTCGAATAATCAATTTAAATCAATTTTAGGGGTCAGTGATCCTGGATAACCGATGTAATTCATGTAAAAAGTCATTTAGTACAATGAGTTCATTTCAGCTCTGTGTGCTGTTTTGTTTTTGCAGACTCTTATTAGACATTACATAAATATCGATTAAAAATCCCAAGAATGTTTGTTCACAAACCTTTTCTCCCACATCTTATGACTGATTGTTTGTAGACACATCACGTACAGAGATATAAACGTCCGAAGACTCATTTCCGTGATCAGTTACGTGATGGACCCAAGCCAAAACTTTCTGGAGGCTAGCAGAACATTGATAAGGAAGTCTAAGTGGTATGTCACAAAATAGATTTCCAATAACGTTGTTCGAAAGATCCATTAATGACCTGTCAAAGAGGTTCACGAGCTAGTTTTATATCCTGTGTTGTTAACAATTTGACCTCAGAATCATTGCAGTACTTTCCAATGGGTGAATGTTATAATGAAATAAAGGCACTGAAGGATACTGATATAAGGCTTTTAAAAACAGTTCGCTTAGACAGCAACTGAAGATTTTGGATCTAATAGAACCATACTGCAACCGCGATTTTTAGTGATACATATAGCTTTACTGCATGGTAACTGCATCAATCAATTGAGTAAATTATCATCACGAAGACGTTGGGACACAGTGTATCTGTCGTAACGGCAAGAGTGTTTCAAAAATTGAATAAATAACAATAGACACAATATAGGAATTAACTGTACACTCCTTTGTGCTGACCAGCTAGTACATTTTTCCAAACATTTAATACGAACAAAACTACAAGGGGTTATTTGGACTCATCGTCGAAGAATGCATAATTAATTACGCGCCAAAGAAAAGAATGCTATCGGGAAACGAGGCGCATAGCTTTTTGCAAGTAATCAGACAGATCAATCAAACTGATCGTACACTATCAAAGACGAATGTCAATGAAGGAACCATCGAAGTGTATCATTTCAGCTAAAATATGGATAGTGAAACACCAAACGGTAGCAAAGTAATGTTAAAAAAACTGTAACTGTAGATAATAACCGTAATAATAATCTCATTTTATTCGAAAATTTACATGCAATACATGACTAACAAGACCAAGGTACTTAAGGTCCCAGACAGGGTTAAGTTAGAAATTATTATAACATGTAACTTCAAATGGAGAATTTTTACGCTCATACACTGAGGTCCTACGAGCATAAGGGTGTTAGTGATAAAAAGGAGCAATACATTTTCTCTACCTCGAAAACGGGTGAGACCAAAATCATTTCAAATCTCGCGAGGTGGGATCGTGGATACGCAGTACTGAGGAGTCCCACAACAGGACGAAACGACCGTCCAGTACTTCCGAATTTCGCATGGTGGTTTAACTTCAATTGACTCATGATCTTAACTGTTAGAATTATCAAAAATATCTCCCTAAATATCTCGCCACTTATTATCATGAGTCCCGACTACTAGAACATCCTGACACTTGCATTGTACAACTCGATATTTTTAAATGACGACACATTACCGGTCAAAAGAGCCTAAACGCAGTGACTCTGCAGTGATTGTGATATGATCTTAGTAAAAAAGATCAGGCTACAGTGATCAAGACTTCCACGATACATGAACAGTTTTATGACTAGAAATGTATATCCGAATTCAATCCGAAAAATCAGTTACGACCAAACTGTAGAATACAGACCAAAGAATTACGATGCCCTTGTCAAAAAGGAACCAATTTTTATTCTTACTTGATGGAGTAACTTAACTCACTCCAAGGTTATCAGCTGAACAACATGAGAAGACAGTCACAACCGTCAACGCCTAATATTTGTCGACAAAATGAGGATAATCAACTGAAGGGAAAAATATTTCTGTTCTCGAGCAGGTAGATAGAATCAATAATTTCAAAAATCGATTATTACTTAGCGATAAATTGATACAGGATTTGCCGGATTATTAGGTTGAATGAAACAAGACTAGTATAGTTTAAAAAACCAATAAACATTAAGCGAAACGTTGAGAATGTTGAAATGTCAAGAATTATGATCTATGATATTATCCTCTGAAAACGAAATATCATGGGATACTCTAGAACAGGGGTGCTGAGAATAGCAGTCTTACAGTCAAGATGAAACAAAAAGTTAATATCATTTGGAAAGTGTTCATAGTATAGAGAAACGGGGGATTAAGGAAGTTAACATTGTTTGCAATCAAATAACGAGTTGCTGGAGCACAGAATTAATATTAGGCGGACTTCCTCACAAACGCTCATGCATGCGTACAAACATAAAAGATAGTGCGACGGAATGAAGGTATCCGATTGCACCGATAACAATTTGTCAGAAAGCTATCAACTGAATAGCTCAGTGATGATGACATGAGTAAAAACTCGGAATTTTCTGATGAAACGGAGGTGATTTTTCCATATATGGTATATTGTTTATGAGTCTTTACACTTTGAAAAACGTCTTTATTAACATCAGAAAACTAAGATATATCATGGTTTGATGGTCGAGTCGCTAGCTACCATCAGAGGGAATAGCCAAAGACTACGGATGATGTCTGCCACCAAGTCCTCTTAATAAAAGTAATTTCAATTTAATCTCTGTAAAACTATATAAATTTATACGGTTACTAAGACACTTGTTGGTTTCACTAATATCGATTATCATGTTCTCGTCTCTCGCTATATCTGTCAATCTTTTACGTCAATTTGTTTGGCAAACTTATTGAGGCTCTAGAGTTTCTCAGTAATTCATTGTGTCGATCTAGGGATGGTGAGAGATATCTATCAACATACAGACTCGCTCAATAGAATCTGATTTCCAGTAGTCTGTCGTAAAAACTTAGTATCTTGGTTGTGCTTTTGCGAATAAGATAGTGAGAATGCATATTATAGTAGTTATGGTACCAGTAATTATTGGAGGAAACCTGCATTATTATTTTCGCGCCTCAGATAAAGTAGGATCATTTTATCATCCCTAATAAAGAATACTTTATTAGGGATGATAAAGTATTCCAACGTACTGTGGGAGAGAACAATTCAGATCCCAGCGGTGGAAGAAATCAGGAAGAAGCGCTGGAAGTGGATAGGACACACATTGAGGAAAGCACCCAACTGCGTCACAAGACAAGCCCTCACATGGAATCCTCAAAGCCAAAGGAAAAGTGGAAGATCAAAGAACACATTACGCCGAGAAATGGAAATAGACATGAAAAAGATGAACAAGAATTGGATGGAATTAGAAAAGGAGGCTCAGGACAGACTGGATTGGAGAATGCTGGTCGGCGGCCTATGCTCCATTGGGAGTAACAGGCGTAAGTAAGTAATAAAGAATACAAAACATTTTACTCCAAACTTTTCATTATCAATGCCTATTAAATAAAGTTTGACTTCAAATGTGTAACATCAGTTGATGAAGATTTATTTTACATTTGTCACCCAAGCAAACCTTTTAATACTCTGAAACATAAGGTTAACCTGAGTAAAACATCACGGCGAGTATTTCTATGAATGTCTAGCCTCGTATCCGGACGGTTTGCTGATGAAGCTGATATCTGCTGTTCGAGTGTAGGTAAAAATCATGATAAACTGGGCTGTGTTTGGTTTCAAGCGTCGAGAGTACAGTGACAACAACTTCATTCAGCAGAGACAATATGATATCACGAATAAATATGGAGGTATTCAGATCAAACATACAAAACAGCATCGCAGTGTGATGTCACTTATGACGGTGCGCCCTCGAAATGAACAATGAAGCGAGTGCATTTCACATAATCAGCTAGCAATATTCATAAAACCCACGATACTACAGGCAGTTACGTATCTTATCGGTTCAATGTGTGATGATCAAAAACTGTATTTGATGCTTTTGTTTGTATAGTTCAGTAATTAAGGTCAAATAAAATCCTGGTTTCTGTGCTAATTTAAGTCATAAACCAGTCTTCCGTTACTTTGCTTTAAACATGGATAAAGTGCTAACGCTTGAAACTATCAATCCTAATATGATAAAAATCGAATATGCAGTACGTGGGCCAATCGTGGAACGTGCTCTTCAGATCGAAAAAGAACTCAAGAATGTAAGTTTTATCCATATATATTGTAAACAAATTCAGGGTGATAAAAAATCCTTCAATGAAGTTGTCAAGTGTAATATTGGTGACTGTCACGCAACTGGCCAAAGTTTTATAACGTTCGTACGTCAAGTCACTGCTCTGGCAACTTTTCCCCATCTCCTCGAAGAGAAGAGTTTTCCAGAGGATGCAAAATCAAGAGCTAAGGATTTACTAGCAGCTTGTTCTGGCTCTAGTGTCGGTATGTACAAATACTATATTGTTTTCTGAATCATATTTACTCCTTTATTCACTTTACTCTATTAATCTGGATTCATCGAGTTTATTTAACTTGCTTGTAACCTGGTTTTAAAACAACTCACATGTTACCAAGTAGTTGAAGTCGGTGGTAGTTTAATCTTGTTGACGGAACCACTTGTTTATGAAATCAGTTATTCATGACCAGCTATTACCTAGTCGAAATTGTATTTCTTTTGTCATTCGTAGTTAGAAGAGCCACTTTCATACGCTTGAAAGAGATGTATTAGTTCTTTATTTGATTATTCAGATTTAAGCTGTTCCGGATACATTATATATTGCACCGTAATAACACTTGCTTTTCTGTCACACTAACTTAATACAAAATAGGAAAACCACTCAGTGTATGTTACTAACCTTAAGTATTGAAAGTAATAATTTCACTTAAAACGAGATGTGGTTTAATTTTCAGGCTGAGATTCAGTTCTTGTCATTCTACTGAGGCCTATTGGTGTAGCTGTTTGGTAATAAGTAATGTGAGTGGTTTAGGTGCTGTTTGATTATGCTTCTACGCAGGTAGTACGCTAAAAAATAGCTTTTGTTTCTCACTAGCACCGATTCATTTACTATCATATCATGCATTCACTACACATTAGTAGTATTTGCGGTTAAATGTTTCACCCGTTCCTTGATTTCAGGTTCTTACAGTCACTCTCTGGGGCTGGAGTTAGTTCGTAAAGATGTAGCAAAGTATATACATCAACGCGATGGTATTGAGTCTAACTGGGAGAATATTTTTCTAGCTTGCGGGGCTACGGAGGCTGTAAAGGTATTTTTCTTGCTATCACGATACAACTTGTTTTTGGTTTATATATTCCCCTTTATTAGACGAAAATGTCATTGATCATGAGTCGAGTTGTCTCAATTTTTGCCTCGACTGAGTCAATCTTAAAAGATATGCTAAATTCTGTAGATAGAATTCACACTAATAGATTATTTAACGGGAGATTTTCAAAGACTCACTCGAAATTCTCAACGATTTTTGAGAGTTTTCACCACAAAGTCCAAACAGACGTTAGTAACAGTTGAAAGCCAATCATATAAAGGTGTCTACCTAGAGTGCTGCTACTTAGAAATAGCATAATATGTCAAAAAGGTGAAGGGGAAAGCAAAGCGCTAAGTAAGCTGAAAACGAGCATGTTAAGTATTGTTGCTTTACAAACTTATAAGATAATTAATTAATGCGTAATAAGACATTAGGACTAAGTGACCTTCCCTTACAATGACGTTTCGCTGAGTTTTAGTGCATTTTTTATCCGATCGTTCCAATACTTATCATCAATACATTAAAGGCTAATCACCGGCATCCAAAGAGTTTATCTACCGTGCAGTAACAGGTGCGCACTTTACCAGCTTTCTTATCGATATTCTGAATGACTGATGACGCTCACATACCCAAAAACTTTCAAGACATACTGCCGTATATATATGACATTGGGTCATATTTCCCTGCAAATCTTGACTTATTGGTGAGAGTTTATTATTTCTGATCGTTGATATTCAGGATTGTTATTGGTCAACTTAAGTTTCCATTTTTGCATTCTGTGAGTGTTGCCGGAATATACCTGGTTCTGGAATCCTTTGTAAAAATATGGTTACTACACTGCTAATTTTTATAATCAATCAATCGATATTACGCAACACAACCACGATTAAACTGATACATGGCATAAATAACCATGTGGTAAATTTTCGACGGCTTATGTTTATCTATTTTATTTTATATATACGGTGAATATGGTCATTTTAGTGGATATTGACTGACTTATTCATTTTCGTGAAATTTTAGATGTTACTGGAAATGATATCCACAACTGGTCGAGGCAGTGAACGCGCAGGTGTTATGATTCCAATACCACAATATCCTTTGTATTCAGCTACGAATTCCGAATACAATAACTTTCAGGTTGGTTGACGACACTTAATGTTGCTTTTAATCGATTATATGGCGATTTTTCTCGTCAATTCTTGTCATGTACTAGTGAATTACAGCCACATCATTTTAGCGTAAATTTGATTCGTATAGATTTTCGGAATCAGGAACTCACCAAGTTTTGAGAGTCTAATAATATCTTCAAACTTTAAACCACTGAAAATTATGTTTTATAGCATTTTTAAGCTTGCTGATGCTGAATTTGAAAGATAACTTTAGTTTTGTGTTCAAAATTAAGGTGCTTGAAATTCACCTCTGGTCACAATCATGGATTATTTTTCTATCTATCATCGGATTGTATTTGTAGGGACAAAGAAACATGAGTGCACAGATTATCGATCTTATTTTATTGAACGATGCTGGTCATACCTAATTTTCAAGAATTCATCTACCAGCTGAGAACCTGATTTGTAATATTAATTCTTGATAACGGACAATAAGTCCTTGTTTTGTGTAAATTTACATATACATCATCAAATTAATACAATAATTCACCTCAAGGTAGTTTTTATTATCAGTATTTGATGGCAGGCAGTTCCACTTTCAATAAATCCTCATACATTATAACGATATTCGTTTTTAATGTAATCCGATTACTTATAATAAAAACAACCACTTCAGGTTTATACCTACCTACCATTTTGAGTTTTTTTCTTAATTATTTGACAATTTGTGTTTTAGATTAACTACTACTTAGATGAAAGTGACAACTGGTCCTTATCTGCCGATGAATTGAAACGAGCACTAACGAGCGTCAAAGGACAGTGCATACCGAAAGCCATAGTTATAATTAATCCAGGAAATCCAACGGGTCAAGTACTTCCGCAAAAATGTATGGAAGATATTATTAAATTTGCAGTTGATAACCGACTGATTTTGATAGCTGACGAAGTTTACCAGCAAAATGTTTACCAGCCGGACAAATATCCATGGGTTAGTTTTAAAAAAGTTTTGTTCAATATGGGACCAAGTTACTCAGGAAAATTGGAATTGGCCTCACTGATGTCCTGTAGCAAAGGTTACATGGGAGAGTAAGTGGGTTGTTATAAGATTTTTGATAAATAATTAAATACTTTTTCCGGTATCCTTCTTTGTGTTTTGTTCACTATCTTCCTCCCTTTTTAGAGGTCTTCATTCTCTATTTTACAGGCTATACTAATGTTCCACATTTATAGGACATTTTTATATTGGTTTAAAGCAAAATGTTGGGTATCCTGAGAACGTTTTCATTGTGTAGACGTTTTGTACTCATATACTTTCAACCAAGATGGTCTGTCACAAATATCAGAGCACTACCTACGTTGACGTCCTCTGCTACTAATTAAAATTAAGTTTAACAAACACTAACAGTGGCATCAGTCAATTGAGTCCATCTGAGGATTGGGTAAACCTTTTTGATAGTATTGTTGTGATATTTTGAGTAGGTCGCGTTAAACCCCACATAACACTGGTAATTTCTGACTGCAACGACCCAAGTGCAACCACTAACTTCGTTAAATTGTTGAACACTATACAACAAAAGACATGGTAACGACTATGTTGGAGCTGAACTGTGCCAACAAAAGAGCTGGAGATAAGCGATAGTAATGGTAATTCAGTCGCAGAGATGAAGTCAGATGAGGATTTTTTTACTATTTCTTACATACCTATTAGGTTATTAGACTAGTTCAGTTATGTCTTCAAGGTAGATAATATTACATAGCTTGACGAGCGGCGTCGTAGAACAATTCGTCCTAGTAAAAGAAGATGGGTGGCGTGTTTCACTGGTAAATTGAACTTAAGGAAGATAATCTTACTATAAACAATAAGTTATGGTGTCTCAAATGTATACTTTGTGGTGAGACAGTTCCTTTGAGTTTGTTTAGGCTCGTTTGACGATTTTATTTTAATTTAGACATGTATCTTTTGTAATCTCTTCTCTGATTAACTATTACCCATGAAGTGTTTAAACGTATGTAAGAACATTACAGAGAAAAACACCTTCCTAAGGCTCATTGTGAGACAGCTCATATCAAAACCATTAATGTCATCTAGTTGCTCAAGTGGGTCTTCTAAACCAGAGTAGCTACAAAGTGTGATTTAATTTACCTCATACTGATGATACTGGTTGATTGGATATGCCATATGGTTTGTCATTGTTGTTAATCATTTTTGGAACAATTTACTGTTTAGATATTTTTGTCTATTCTAGATGTGGATATCGCGGTGGATATTGTGAATTATTAAATTTTGATCCAGCTGTTCAAGCTCAGCTTTACAAAGCCCTTTCAGCACGATTATGTCCACCCCTAATGGGACAGGTATAGTACTTCATAGATTTTCTGTTTAATTTAGTTTACAGCAATTCTTATAACTGATCGTGCTTTTTCATTACGAATTAATTCAAATGGTTATAATATTCATGGATTAGTTGATGACTGATTATATTACTTAGTTACTTATGCCTGTCACTACCACTCCTTTCAAGGTGGTTCCAGCGGTTATTCATCTTTTTGATGTCTGCTTCCAATTTTCGACGTAGTATGGTTATTGGTCATCCTCCTTTTTCGTTTCCCTTCAGGATTTCAAGTTAATGCTTGCCTCATGATACCATTTGATGATGTCATTAATGTATCTCATATCAACTTTCAGCGTCTTTTCTTAATTTCTTCCCCAACAGGAAGATGGTTTGTTCTCTCTCACGGTAGGCTGTTGCTGGTGGTATCCGACTAACGGAAATTAAGTATCTTGCTAAACAATTGTTTATAAATACTTGTACCTTTTTGATGATGGATGTAGTAGTTCTCCGAGTTTCAGCTCCCTACAGTAGAACTGTCTTGACTTTTATATTGAAGATTCTGACTTTGATATTGGTTGGCAGTTGTTTTGAGTTCCATATATTCTTCAACTGTATGAATGTTGCCCTTGATTTGCAAATCCTTGCCTTTACGTCCGCATCAGATTCTCCTTGTTCATCAATAACGCTTCTCAGATACATGAAAGATTTCATCTCTTCCAGAGCTTCTCCATCAAGTGTGATTGGGTTGGTGTTCTTCATGTTGTTTTTGAGGATGTTCTTTTTTCCCTTGTGTATGTTGATGCCTATTGATGCAGAGGTAACTGATTATATAGTATGCATAAATTAGTAGCGCGATTAATAATGTTGTAATTGATATCTCCATATAAGTTTACTTAGTAGTTCCATTCACTTATTAGCTTTATTTTTGCCATACAGTTTTTATACTTGATGTAGTTTCCATTATCAGGAATTCAAGTTTTTACATTTAGATCAAGTTACCGAAACGAAATATGTATTTGAAACGTTATGTTAGTATCATTAAACAACTAATATATAACTGTGAACTTGAGAGGCTTATCCGAATTTGTCGACTACAATTATCAGAATTCATTTTACTGTCAAATCTCTAATTTATAACCGATATCATGCCAAAACTTTACGTGTAAATTCAAACTTACCAATCAGGGATAATAATTTATCCATTAAACTGGGTAGCGCTAGGATCAAAAATTCATATTAATTCACTCCAAATATTTATCGTCAAACTATTTTACCTCTGTTCGGCCGACCTGGTTAATTAATAGAATTTGAACCTTAATAAAACACTAGCAACAGTGAATCGAAGCTTGTTGTTGGAGAAGTATCATTATTGACTTGTAAAACCAACCCCTTTCTGTCTAATACATATACCGTCGGTGCTTATTTCCATAAGAGGGATTGAATGTGGATTTCGTATAGTAAATCAAATATCCTCCTATATGCTAATTACGTTACTTCTGGATGGTACATTTATTTTTGCTTTTGGTACTTTCATAGCACCGTCACACATACTCGAGTTCGTGCACGTTTAAGTTTATTAAACCCTTTAATTAACCTACTAAATAGACAGTGTCATTCATTCCAATAAATGACCAGTGTATCATGTTTTTTCCTCATTTATATCACTTTTGTATGAATGTCCAACAGTTTCATTAATGTCATTTTATCTTTCATGTTTTCGTGCAAAACAAAATTACTTAGGTAGCATTAGAAGCAATCGTGAATCCCCCTAAACCAGGTGAACCATCATATTCCTTATTTGTCAAAGAACGAGATGATGTATTAAGTGCATTGAAAGATAAAGCTGATATCACCTATAGCGCACTGAATTCAATGCCAAATATGTCATGTAATCCTGTTCAAGGTGCAATGTATGCCTTTCCACGCATACATTTACCACCAAAAGCTATTCAAGAAGCTAAAGTAGGTTTAATTAAGCACTAATAGTTGAGACTTGTATCGTTTTTAACATGTTTTTTTCATTTATAGCTGATAGATTTGCTTACCTTGAAGTTATATTCGCTTACGGAAAACTAGAGATATCACTCACTGCCCAACTCTCTAAACTTAAATTTACCAAGCTTTGAACACAACCCAGTGATTAAAAATTTAATTGCCTAGACTATTGAAGATTATTTTCATAGTTTCGTTTGAGATAAACATTTTTCCTCCTTAAACTCATTCTGTATTGTTTGTTTGGATCTTCCTTTTGATGTTTAGGACTGCAATTGGTCAGCCTCCTATCGACATATGTGCATCCTGTGCTAATTGCCTCGATATTGTCTTAAGTCACAATCATTCTCTTTGTATAACTAACATTTTTCGTCGATTTTACCGTCATTAGATATGAAGGCTTAGATACCTTAGTTTTGAAACATTTATGTCAGGTTGGTTAGTGAGCAGAACTGTTCAGACCATACAGACTTAGTCGCAAACGTGGATAAGTTTTATGTCGTTAGAAGCAGTTGACAGGAAACCCTGAACTATTGAATCGTAAGCTTTCTTCGGGGAAAACATTTTACACCTAGTAACATTAATTAAAAACAGTCATAATTTGACAATGACAAACAAAGTGAAATTACATTTTCACAAAATAACGTTCGATTATTGTGTGTTAGGCATATTAACGTATCTGAAAGTAAACTACTACAATTTTGTGACGTTTAATTTTTACTTCGATCTGTTATTAGAATGGTGGTTTGTGGAGATTGTAGTGATTTTGACAGTTGAATTCATGAGTTCAAACATTTAAAAATCCATTATTCACTGTGATAAAGGTTACCATACAAGTGTAAACTGTCTGGGTCATTTGAAAACCATAGTGTCTCTCGTAACGTAGAGTCTTTTAGCTTAACACTACTTCTAAGATTAACTTACAAAGAAACTACCATAAAGAGAAATTTATATTTTCTATCCCCTTAAACTAGCTATAGGGCTATAAATGATAAAATGTCTTCATTAAAATTAATTTGGCATTCCTTGCCCCGAATTTTTTTTCATTTTACCAAAAAAGTAATATGAGTAATTCACAATTGTCAATTACAGAGAAGAGGAGAAGCACCAGATTTCTTCTATTGTTTACAACTGTTAGAAGAAAAAGGTATATGTGTAGTTCCCGGTTCTGGTTTTGGGCAACAAGAAGGAACGTATCATTTCAGGTAAATAATCGATTTGTAAAAATATAGTTTCGGTGGTATATATATATGAGGGAACAGTAATATATTTCTCTCATTTAATCTTCATACATTTTCAAGCTCCTGTAAATTAATCGTATCAGAATCTGAGTTCAGTATGTTTAAATGTAGTATAATTGAATTCATCTGAGCAAATAATATTCTATCAGGACTGCTTCTTTTCATTTGACTGTAAGACTGTTTCAATTAGGAATGATTGCATAATGGTCAAAACAGTGGAATTTAAAGCATTGCGTTGGATTTTGTTTTTCCTCAGTACCAAAATCTATCACCAGTTGAATAGCTGGACTACTACCCCCCACACAAATAGTATGGCCTAAAGCTGAGTACCTAAGCTTCCATTGGTTAGATATAATGTGAAGTTCTCCCATAGTAAGTTTATGGCAGTGAAACATGGCCGGCAAGAGCAGAGGATATTCGTAAGTTACTAGTATTTGATTATAGATGTCTTCGAAATATTGCTCGTATATACTGGGAACACCGAGTAAGTAACTCAGTTGTTAGGAAATGGGTACTGGGTAAGGATGGCAAATCAATTGATGAAGTAGTGAAACTTGATTAATTAGGATGGCTGGGACACGTGTTACGTATGCCCAACCACCGACTGCCCCGAAGAGCGATGTTTTCTGGTGTAGGAGTAGGTTGGAAGAAAGCTAGGGGTGACCAGACCAAAACGTGGAACAAATCTATACAGTCATTGACAAGTGGACTGAGCCATGTTGGTAGGTGTAGACTACCTGGTTGGGATCCGCGAAACGATAGCAACCGATGGTTAGAGACCTTGAATGACATGGCTCAAAATCGTTTTCAATGGCGCAGGTGCATCCACTCTTTGTGTTCTCCCAAATTCTAATCTTCTGAATTCTTCATGTCCCTTTATTTTCTTTTCAAATTTATTTCACTGGATTATACTCCTAGAATAACATCTTCAAACCCTAATCGTTCCGATTACTACGGGATTTAAATCGACAATTGTATCTCTGCGCTAATGTGGTATGGCAACTCGAACTGATGTACGTACGTACGAAGTTCCACGTTGTTACTGATTGACTGACCATAATAAGTAAATTAATTCGTTTTCAACTACTGGTTCACAGCTTCAATTCCCTTTTCATCTACTTTGGTTTGGCCAACCAATAGAACTCATTGCCTCAACCGGAGCTCGCAACCAGCTATATAAACATGAACTTGTCGTACAGCGCTTTAAAAGTTCTTTCAGCTTAGTGAATGACTGTTTTCATTTTGAATAAGACTGATGAAACATTCATTTCAATTGAATCCATGGTGAATTGGAATCCATAATTTCTTTATCATTGCTACTTTTTTTCTACAATAACTCTCGGTTTGCATTTCCAATAAGTCGTCAAGCTGATTACCTATGATATGGTTTACTTCAGTTAACTATCTTTATTCACCTCAATTTAGCTCTGATACGTAGTATCTTAGTGGTGAATTTTATATCGTCATGGCTTTAGTGTATAGGACCAATTTGGTTTCTTTTCTTCAACTAGATAATGAAGTCCAGAACTACTATAACTGATGTGATATGTTTGTGTACATAACTTTTAACCATCCATCTATCAAAATTGAAATAGGCTAAAGCAGTGTCCTAACCTGTGATCAAACAAATTAAATTCAATTACTTTGATTCTATTAAATTTCAATACACCAGTTTTATGAAGATTGTTGTTTATTCCACCATTTATGTAGTTTCGGAAACGATGTGAAAAGTTAATTAACACGATACACAATATTACTTATGTAAAAAACAAAGTAAAAACAAAACACCCTATAAAATACTTCAGTTTCATGTTTAGTAATATTAGCAAACTATTTTGTTTATATTTACTATTTTTAAAAAAAAGAAGGATCATTTCAATCAGATCAATGTGACGTGAACATATTTTGCACATTTTCAAAATGTTGCTAATTCGGTCATTCATTCATTCATTTTGTGTTATTAACATCGTATAATTAAAAGCTGCTTTTCATTTTGTTTATGATTAACCAACCATTATGATAGTTTTATAATTTTTTTCCCTGCTTTTCATATATATATAAACGTTTTGATAAATATGACTCGCTTATTTGTTTTAACTTAACTAATCTCTATGTATATTTCATTTTAACACTGATTATAAATTGTAAATCAACTTGGTTCATATTATTATGATCATGTAAACTATTTAAAAATTATTTAAAGTAATATGATCTTTGTATAGTAAGTACTATATAGTTATCACTGTAAACAAATCATACTAAATTTCTGATTGTTTTGTTTAACAAGGCTAATTTAGTTGAATAAATTTCCGAGATATCATTGTATATAGGTTGTTATTATGTTAATAGTTGATTGGTGCTCATTGTAAGATAAATTTTTATAATTAAACAGTTCTTAAAATGTAAACGGTAATTAGATTAACTTTATATTATTTGTGTGATGTAGTACATTCTATCTAGTGGCATTAATTTTTAGTAGACATGCTTAGCTAATAATCTATTTTATTTTTTTGGGGGGAGGACGGGACTCTAAGAAACACGTATTAGGGTATGTACAACTTAATCTTTTATGCAACCTCGTAAATAAATACAGATCAAGTATTCATTTTATGGTACATAATAAATGTATAGGGAATAACTAGTGATTTATTGTTATTATTTTATTTGAACACATAAACATTGGTACAAGGTGGCACCAAATGCATTTGCGCCACTTAATAACAATGAGTCCAGTGGTAGTTATCATTCGTTTGTGTGAGATCTGTGATACTGTTGTGGCGCCCAAATCGAAGCAAGTGGTTTTTTTAGGGGGCTACACCCGGAGCCTTCGACCTAAAGGTTTGATCCATAAACCAGTGGATCAACGATAGGAGATGCAGTCTCATGGTAGCCGGTGACCAATAATTGGTTCATACGCTATTTTTTCCCTCAGGATCCTGGAGCCCATGTGCACCATTAGTTTGGAATAAGGGTTTCCCAACTCCTCTAGGTGAATCCTCCATATCCACCAACCCGGTTAAAGCGCCGGACATTAGCTTTTCGTCCTCCCCCGCCACGAGAAAGCAGTGAGTAAGACTTCCCTAGCAGTGTCTGTATACGCGTGGCCATGTGAGAGCATTTCGAGAGGGAGAGCGGACTCTTTCCACCCTCGGCTGTACCAGGGCATTTGGGGGCATAACTAGTGATACGAACCTTTGGCATTTAAACTAAAGGAATTATTATCAACTCATTACCAAGTACAGGTCCGTATACATGGCTTTAAGTCATATTTCAAACGAAAAGTTAGTGACACTACTCGGTTATATAAACTAATGTAGATGGGGTAGATTTTAAACTTGGAATTTGATGCCTGAATGTCACCCCTTTACTTTTAGTGAACGCGTTGAAATTCAAATATGAGATTCCATGATTAAAATTTAACTACTATGTTATGTTAACACCAGTCTTATTTGGCAGTAACACTGAACTACTTTTAAACCTAACCTGTTTTCTAACATTTGTTGATTAAGTACATTTATTATTAAATCATCAACTGGCTAGTTAAAACTGAATTACTATTATCCTGTTTAATATCTTTACACTATTATTAATAAAATCATGAATTCATAAAGTTTATATTTTGCTTTTATTTATTTCTACACAGAACTACTATCTTACCGTCTGTTGAGAAGATGAAATATGTTATGAAACAAATTGAAGAGTTTCATATATCATTTATGAAGAAATATTCTTAATTCTATATTATAATAAATAACAATAATTAATTAATTAGAAAAGATACATTAATTCAAGACTATCATTCAGATTAGTGATGTATCTATAACTAATTGTTCTTTTATGAGTAGTGGGTTTAAACCTGTACCCACTTATCCTATTAAATTTATTATTATTTTTAATAACTTAATATCATGGTAACTATTAAACTTTATTATTACTACAATGTATGTATGTATGCATATATTAGTGAAATTATGTACATGCAAATTAAATGCTCAACAATTTCCAATAACTTCAATCACATTCTGTTGTTTATTATATAATTGTTTCTTTTTTTTTGTTTTGAAAATATATTTAGTTAACGAAATGAAAGATTATTGTTTTAATTGGTATTCAATATCAGTTATTCATTATAATTACAGGATACTTCAATAATCTATTTAACTCTAAAGAGATATAATATACATTAGTGATTTGAGGAGTTAGGATGGAAACTGGTCATGTTGATGGTATCAGGATTATTACTGTCTGTGAACAATTTATTCGATATTTTGTTCGTTATTATTTAACTAGCTGCAACAAATAAGTTTTATTACTCATTGATGATTCATCGCAAGAATTCCTTGTGGTCATTAATTTTTCCTTGTAATGCAACAGAAGTATAAATGGCATAAAATCAGAAATTATAATACCCATTGAATCATAACAGAATTTTTTAGTAGGACTCATCTGGTTAATGAAATCAGAACCTAGGAAGACATGTTTATTCAGTGGTTATATGTCTTGTTGAAGGGATCAGTAATTAAATAAGAGGTATTCTAAAATGAGGTCATCTTCTCTTTTAGTTTAAATGTAATCTCACCAGTGACCCATTCGAATGGAGAATGATTAAATTGATTGCTCAGTGAGTAATTAACCGTTTATCTAATTTTTTTCGAGCTGACCTAGTTCCTTCAATCAAAATGTATTACAACCATTCGACTGAATAACTGGACATTGCATACAGCATGTCTTGATTATAGGTACGGTAGGCAGAGATCTTATTGAAATTGTAAATACATTTTGTTAATGAATCTCAACTACCAAAAACATAAGTCCATGGTTCTCTATCGATCACCTCCAACTGACTACAAATAAAAATGTTTCTGAACAATACAACGTAAATGGAAAAGTCTGACATAGCCTAAGTGACTAAACAAGTTTTAGCTTTGTCCATGATTTTCAGCTGCTCAACTACTTTAGATTATTTTGTACTTGGGAATAACCTTGTGTAGATATGGTCCTGATGCAACCTAAAGCGAGTCAGACTTCTGCCTGCTACTGATATACAAAATGTGGATTGTGGAGGTTTCAACGAATCTGTAAGGATGGTTTGAACTTTGTTAATTCTTTAGGTGCAATGACATTTTGGTTGACTGGTTTTTGATAGAAACCATTTCAAGTGATCCTTAGCGATAGAACAAACGTTGTTTGTTTCGATTTACAATATCCTAATCTTTGTGTGGATATAACCCTCAGCAATAATCCTTTGTATTAGGTTGACTTTGGGTTAACTGTGAACAAAGATGGAGTCCTGATAGTCATTAAAAAGGTCTTTTATAACCCTTGCTATCAAATGCTACCGGCTCATCACCTCTAGGTATACATTTCGCTACTATAGATCGGTTCTAAATATCGTCATTTTTGGATGTGAGACAGGGGCTCAGTTTGCCAGAATCAAAGGTTCAATTCATGCGTTCATGGATATTTAACTATGCATGACAGATTAGTTTACATATATTAGGCAAATGGTTATTCTCAGTTTTCCTTATTTTATTTAACATGGATGTAACATGTCACTTGGAAATAACAGTGAATCATATGATCAACTTACAGAATTTAGGATTGTCTAAAATATTTGTAAGACCTTAGGTTACATTCAGATGGATGACTATCATTTAGAAAACAGTGTCTGAATTTATTTCTGAAAATGTTTTAATAGCATTCAATAATGTTTAACAAACATTTCGTCGTTCGTAATCTACGGTAAATAAGAGTGGTAGACTTGGATTTGTGAACTAGTAGTTTTCAGGACTATACAGTACATACTCTAATAATCTCTAATGGAACATCAATCAAGTCAGAAAGAATACAGTGAACACACCTAAAGATATTATATTGTAATTCGAGTTAGGCACGTAACAATTCGCAAAGTATTCATCACTATATACAGACACCACAAATTCAAACTTTGTACATGGCTTTGCATCTGGTTAACAGATGAGACACAATCATAAACATATCCAATACCATGAACCCATTTATTAGTATTTCGAAGACGGAACTCTGTGTTCGCTTTTGTAAACTTTTCCTAACTGTTATATACTTATTAGTTTTCGTCAAGTCAAAACTTATTCATTTAAAAACCCCTTTTCTCTCTTCTCGTTTTATGATTGGAATAGGTCCCAAAATGATTAGTTTTGTGACCACCACGTGACAGATTCATGTCCATAAATCACGACAGTAAGTGGGTAACTCATACGGATATTAAAGAGTTACTGTGACGTTCTGATTTAGTAATGGCCTCTTTGTAAATTATTCCGCGCTTGATTCAAATTCCAAATACAATACAATCGATTGTATTCAGGGTATTCTTTGTGACGTGAACATTGGTCCATATGTGACTACTACATTACAAACAGGACAGTCCTGAGAGTTACTAGTTAACAAAGCAAATTCGACCACTCGTAGTTTCAACAGACACATTATATTGACGATGATCAATGTTGTTGTTAAAGTGCTCTTAAAATTGCAAAGAAATATATTCTTAAACGTGGAGATTTATCGAATCAACAATGATTGTGTGGACTGCTTTAAAACAGAGAACCGAAAGATAGCTCATTATAGAGAAGGCCTTCAAAGAATATCGAAGCAATAGGCTAGGAGACTGTGGTTGTCATCTGTCTCTAGTGGATTATTAATCCTGCAATTATATATCCGAGATTTAACTTCGCAAATATTTCTCAGACAAGACTGATTGTATTTAACGCCATAAAAACGTTATATAAGGAATCTGATTAGAAATATTTTGAAACGTGCTGTATTTCCTACACATCGATTCATCAGACCAGATATAAAGCATACAGTGTTTGTAGACAGTGAGATTTGTATGTGGTGTATGACATGTGATCAATCATTGTTTGACCCACTGGAGTTGACAGTGCCCTTTATTATTTATGGTAAGCTGATATTTCTGGAGATATTTAAAAGCAAGCTTTGTTGGAATGAACTGCTTGATGACAAGTTGGTCCATTGTAGAAAAGAACTAATAAATTCTCTGGTTTTAT